CGACCGGCCCAGCGCCTCCGTGACCGGCCCAGAGCCTCGGTGACCGTCTCGGAGCCTCGGTGATCGGCCCGGTGCCTCAGTGACCGGCCCGGCATACTGGTAACCGGCCCGGCGCCTCAGTGACTGGCCCGGCGCCTCGGTGACCGGCCCGGCACCTCAGTGACCGGCCCGGCGCCTCGGTGACCGGCCCGGCGCCCGGCAGCCACAGATAGGGCAGCGCCGGCTCGACCGCCGCGCGTGCCGCCCCGGCCGGCGGCATTTCCTGTGGCGCGCCGCCGCCGGCGATCAGCGCCGCGTCCCCAGTGACACGAACAGCGGCGCGGGGGTGACCGGGTCCGCCGAGCCCAGCGGCTGACGCGAAGTAACTGGGCTGTGCCGGAGCGGTGAGAGGTGAGCACGTGTTCTCACGTGAGCAGTTGCGATGTGAGCAGCTATGTGCCGTTCACCGTCATCATTGTGTAGCTCGCTGAGTGAGCGGCCCAGCCCGTGTCCTTGGGAAAGAGACGAACCTCATGTGAGCTGAGAGGGCAGCAGAGCGTGACGTCATCATCACTACTGTGTGACGGGAGGTTGCGCTGGTGGTCTGCACTGCCGTGCGTGTGTTTACCCGATGGCATGGCTTAAGAATGGGCAGCTGTTGAGTCCGGCAAGGCCTGATTATAACAATTACAGATATCTGGGAGTTTAGGATGGTTTACTTTTTTGGTGCTGTGAACAAAGCATTTTCTTAAAAATGGGAACAGTTTGGCTGCATATTGTGTGCAATACACTGAATTTGTTCTCACGCAACTTTGTTTATAGTCCGCTCTTTCTCGGTTCAGGCCTCAGCTTCTTGTATTCAAGGTCGCCTTCGCATGAGGCGACATTGGCAGCTTCGCGGTCGGCTACTGACGCACCTGTTGGCTTATCAGTGATGAGATCGCTTAGTGATTCGTAGACCATACATTTGCCTTCCGCGTGCAAGTGACGATGCATTGATAACGCACAAAAATCTAGCGGAGTCATGGCTTGCGCAAGTTAGCCCGTGACCGATGCACGAACTACTTCACACTCCTACCACAGCGATTGTTTGCTTCCTCCTCCGTCAATATTAGTTGGTGTGATGTCACTGAGACGCCGGACCGGCAATAGCTGGACCGTGTTTCGATCCATGTTCTTCATCGATTTTGCAAGCTCACAATTTGGTTTTCCCGGTATCAATCGAATGGTGAAGGCTATGTTTTGCTCAGACTGTGCTGTTACATTGCAATCACACCTGATTTTGCAGCATGCAAGTAAATACCTACAAATTTATGCGGCACAGGTATTCAAGAGCAGCGTTCTGCACGAAGCTCCGATGATTGCTTTCAAAGAACCCGTCTTTAGGAACCTTCATTGAAGGCTTACAACTCAGCACAAGAACTAGGGACTCATACTGATTTTGCAAAGCCAGGCAATCATTCCTCCAACGATGCCGGTTCGGAAGCGCAATAGTCGTGCTGGTCACTTGAGACCACTTTCTTATTTGCTCCACGTCTGTGCTGTGCCTGACGCTCACCACGCCTGTCGACAGATAACATGGCACACCGCTTCGGCTGAGAATGTCCCGGGAAACTCCGGCGCAGGACACGGACAAAACGCACGGGTGTCGGCTGAGCCCTGTCGACTCCCCGCACAAGTGTCGGCCGTGCCTCGCTGACGCCCTGCACGAGCGCCAGCCGAGCCCCGCTGACGCCCTGCACGAGAGCCAGCCGAGCCCCGCTGACGCCCTGCACGGGCGCCAGCCGAGCCCCGCTGACACCCTGCACGAGCGCCAGCCGAGCCCCGCTGACGCCCTGCACGAGCGCCAGCCGAGCCCCGCTGACGCCCTGCACGGGCGCCAGCCGAGCCCCGCTGACGCCCTGCACGGGCGCCAGCCGAGCCCCGCTGACACCCTGCACGAGAGCCAGCCGAGCCCCGCTGACGCCCTGCACGGGCGCCAGCCGAGCCCCGCTGACACCCTGCACGAGAGTCGGCCGAGCCCCGCTGACGCCCCGCACCCTTGGTCTGTCATCAGCGGCGGCGGCAGGACGACACGCAGCAGTTCCAGCACGGGCAAGCCACACCAGCCGAAGCCGCCACAGCGGCAGGTGACGCGTCAACCGCGACTGCATTCAAGTGCGGAGTGGGCCGCGGACGCGGAGCGGGAGCGTCAGCACGGGCGGCAGCGGCGGCGGCAGCGGCAGCATCGGCCGATGCGGTGGGAGGAGCCCACGGCGCCGGCGCCACGGCAGGCGCGCCGCGCCGAGCGGGGGTGCCGCCTGCGCGGTGATGAGCAGGCGGCGCCGCAGGCTTCGCGGCCGCCGGCGGCTCGTCGGCGCCTGTTCGGGCCCGTGGATCAGGTCGCGCTAGAGGACGCTCTCCGGGAGCAGGAGCGGGCCGCGCACCGCGCCGCATCCTACCGGTGGAACTTTGACTTCGAGCGTGAGCGGCCGCTGGAGGGCATGTGGCAGTGGGAGCGGGTAGGGCCGCCGGCCGCCCGGGCTGACACCGTGCCGGACCCGTGACCCCGCCGCAGTCACGGCTGTGATGGGAGGTACGACCGCGGGTGTCTTGACTCGGGGTGGGGGCCGGTCAGGTCAAGGCGGCCGAGCGTGTCATCAGTGTTACGGCTAGCGTGCTATACTAGTCTACCCGACCATTCGGCGACTACCAGCTGGCCGCAGAAACAGCGTGCGGCGGAACAATTACCGAACGGCAAATTGTCTGAATCATGGACATGTACATAGGCATATGCGTAGATTTGTATTTTGACTATCCACGATGTACTCGTGACTTTCAAGTCCATCGTAGCAGCATTAAAACAAGGTGTCACTGGAAACAATGGAAACACGCACACACACACACACACACACACACACACACACACACACACACACACACACACACACACACACACACACACACACACACACACACACACACACACGCACACACGCACGCACGCACGCACGCACGCACGCACGCACGCACGCACGCACGCACGCACGCCCGGCTCACAAACATGCACGCAAATACACGGCTTGCGCATGCACACACGGTTTGGACCATTCCGTAGACCGAGTGGACGACGAAGTAGTAGATGGCGCTTAAGTGCACGATCGGACCTCGCACCAGGGAGTGGTATCAGGTAACGGGGAAGGTCACGGAGTTATACCGGGTGGCAGCTCGGCAACACAAGCACATCCTCCACATCGCAGTGCGTAAATCGCCCTCTGTAAAGAAGTTGTCACGAGCACTAGTTAGTTGGAGTGAAGGTGCACCGCTCCACGCGCTCAGTTTCGACGCTCGGAGCTGTCGAAGAACGTTCATCAACTGTAATTCACTCACGCTACGCAAGAGCATCCCGCTGCGACAGCGCGCAGTTCGTCACACGTCGATGATACAGCTGAGCGAGCTGTTACCTGGAGCCAAACGGACGCCTGTAGTATGGGACTGATCGCTGATGGTTCGCTAACGATCGGGCCAGTGCAGCACGCTTCAGAGATTTTCATTCACAGACATGTCACGCTATTCTGTCTCGATGTGTCCCAATGTGCGCGACGTTTACAGATTGTTGAGTGTCTCATGTGAATCCGATGCTGTTGTGACAAACACATATGGCAACAGCACGTCGCGTGTTCCGTTTGGGCCCACACTGAATGGTGCTCCGGGTCGCGCTGGTACGTTGTTTTCCCACGCTTTTCTGTAAACTTGCGTTTAGAGAGACATCCTGACGTAGCATGTCGCGGTCGGCGAGTCAAAGGCTCCACCCTAACCAGTATTTACCCCCGCCATGATTCGTCGTTTTAACCATGTAGACTAATAATGTTTTTTGGGGCTCTAGGCACATGCCTGCAGTTAAGTTTCGGTGTTTTCTGCGCTCTGGCAGCGCGGCTACCCAACATATATTCATCACTGTAAAAAGGGGTCGTGGCATCACCGTAAGCTATCAGCAACTCGCACCACCTGATTGAAACACTGTCACAAGTTACAGCAATGGCGTGAGAAACCTGATCTTTTCTGATCCGTTATTATAGAATATCGCGGCCTCGGGCACATGTGCCATGTTGTGTGCATTGCTGTCATGTGTGTATCAGCTTCATGTTGCGTGCATTCGTCTCTGACGTTCCTATTGGCCATGCGACCCTCATGACGCATTGCGTCTGCGATATGTCATCAATATTCTGTCATGACGCATGACCACTTGGATCAACAGAGATGC